ATCATTTGTTTTCTATACATTTTCTATATATTTTAACGTTTTTGACTGACAGGTCGTCTTCGCACAGAATGGTATTTCGTGTATAATGATTGATCATTGAATTTAAATGTAACACGGCCATTACAGTGAACTTCTCAACGACGAGGTACCCTCACTAGCTCCTACTGTATTCCTACCCATTTTTTTTTTTTAATAGTTTTTAATAATTAATAATTAATTAAAATTATTATAACAATATTAGTTAAATTATGATACTCGTGGAACTAATATTTTACTAAACCAATAGATATGTATAATATCAAATCAGATATTATATTTATTTACTTACAAATGTATGTATAGGGACTTTATAAGTCAATTTGTTTTATGCAAACATTAGCCTGAATATTTTTAAAATGTTCATGTGTATAGGAAATAATAATATTTGTAACGTTGAAAATTTTCAAGTCCCAAGGATTAATAGTAATTACAGAAAGGTAACGAAAATAATTTAAAAATAAATCGTTCTTTTCCTTTAAAATTATAATTCCTCAGCATTTGAACTGATAAGGTTCAATAAAAAAAAAGTAAGTAAGTGGGTGGGTGTCGCTCAGCTGAACAGTATCTAATTCTAATTCTGAGCGGAGATTGCTTGTCTGCCAAGGATATTTTATATTATAGGTACTATCTGATCCCTCGCACTTCGTTATAACTTTTAAAAAAATTGTCATTGTTCAACTCCTTCTGGATGCAACTCAGCCTCCCTGGTAGGCAATCCGACTAAATGTCGGAAATGTCCGAAAATTGATTTGATGCATGCTTGCACTCGATCTGCCCGATTAACCAATGGCATCCAAAAAATAACTACTAATTTCTACTAACCATTTATAAACAAACATTTTCCTCCGTAAATCTCAAAATGCCCGTTTGACCACCTCACCGAGTTGGACCTAGGAAGGTGAAAAATACTTTACCACCTATTCTCATACCTACCAAATAAACAAAACAAATTTCATTTAAGTCTGATTTAGTTCTGAGGAGTGCGACCACAAAATATACCTTGACACGAGATTTTCATATATTAGAATTAGCTGAATTACCCGGCTAGTCCCTGAAAAAAAATTGTGATCGTTCAACTCATTTGGGTGTAACACGCTGTGTAAGCAATGGATTTTTAAGTGTTAATGAAATAATATGTTAATAATTTAATGTACAAGCCATCCTGACCTCCGTTGTCCGTGAGATTCGCTTTTAGCAGTACCTAACCTATATTATCAGGTAGGCAATCTAAGATCACGTACTCCGTGTGGTGTGTACTTAAGTGTATAATTATTAATTTAACTCTAAAGTAACAAAGTTATAAACAATTTGTCGTTTTTACTTAATTCGACCTACGGCCGTCTAATACAATCAATTAATACAAAATCCTAACCTCACTAAAATCCGACAAATAACAAAACTAAACATTCATAGGTATGTTGAGGACCGTGCGGCTCTAACCACCAATAACGCCCTAGGGCAACAATATTTGACGCCCCTCTCCCTCCCACAAAAAAATCTCGACTTCACATTTTTAGCTTATAATTAACCACACACCTTATATATATTTGATAATTATTAATCAAAGGTTCCTACTTATTGTTTTTATTATTATTATTGGAATCATATTTATTTTGTTTCTATGATTTTTTCGAAGTTGACACCAATTTCATTATTCTGAGCACATTATAAAAATAAAATATATATAACTGTTTGAAAAAATTTGTGGGTTTTATTATAAATCATACGTTCTGCGTTTTGCGTGTATAACAGTCAACATTGTAAATTGTACAAGTGAATATAATATACAGAATTCAGTCAAAATACACTAACTCGATTTATTTTAAGAAGTGGGTAAAATTGATAATGAGTTGGTTATCACATAATACACATATATCTTTGCGTATACTAATTACAGTAGCACAACTACCCGAAGGTGGGGGTGGTTGATCACTGACACCCATAGACTGCAGGGGCCACAGGCCCCAGCCCAACTAATAATTTACAATTTTCGTATTTGATAACAAATATCAAAATCACATTATTTTAATGTATTTATGTATGAATCAAATTTCACCGTCAGTATAGATATTTGATGTATTATTGAAATATTATTCTATAAATATAAAATAATGATGACATTTCTCCATATTTTACCAGGCAAATTAAAGGAGAATTATTAAATACAACAATTAAGGACCTCGCTTTTTTTATAATTAAAAATGGTTTCTGTAAACCATACTGAGATGTTCTTAAATTTGCCGATTACAAAACCAGAAAACAAATGTGTGAATTCAAGTGAAAAAAATATTTAATACTACCAAAGATATGAAGTAGTTTAGTTTATAAGTATATTACCTAATTATTTTAACGATGTGTAGACATATTCAAAATATATTTTATGTAAATAAATTACTACCATTGTAGTCTTTTAACTTATAAGTATTAATATTTTTCTTTGTTTTTATGAATATTGAATATATTATTGAAGGTATGTCGCATTAAGATTTAACACATTATTTACATAATTTTATAGTTAATAGTAGGTATATAGTTTGATAGTTTGATAATTTCATCCAAATTTGAACTTAAAATGACTATAAAAATAAACTGTAATTGTGTATTTTTTAGATTTTTTGGTAACAGAATTAACAACTTACATGGGATCTCGTTTAAATGTTCAACCCTTAGATATAAAAGTTGAACATTTTATAAATTTTTAACTACAAAATAATTATTCAATTTTAAATTTGATAAATTTTGTCAAACTTTGATCTTTAAATGCTTATAAAAAAAAATATGCCCATGTATTTTTAATATTTTACACTTTTTGGCCCAACAGATAAAACTTTATTGATATTTATAGAAAAAAAACTAAAAAAATTGAAAACTGAGAAAATGCTAATACAAACCGTCAGTAAAAATTGTATGTATCTACAGTTCATTCATTTTTGAATTACAACAAAATAAGGAAATCGCTACACGAGAAATCGAGTGAATATTCAATGTTGTAAAAATTTGAATTTCAAACGCTCATAAAAATTTAATTTGACTTTCTTATAGACATTTTTTTTGATAAAGGTAGATAATCAAATAAGGAATCTTGTATTACATTTTAAAATCTTAGATTTAAAAAGAAAATTTTTACGAATTCATAACTCAAAATAATTTGCTATATTTTGTCAATTTCGGAACTTTAAATGCTTATAAAAAAACTGCACTAAGGATTTTTAATTTTTTTCATCTGCCTTTGAAACAATATACTAGGAGCCTTCTATTAAATTTTCAAGCTTTTGTACAAAACAAAATTTTATTGATATTTATAGAAAAAAAACAAAAAAAAATGGAAACTTAAAATGTCCGCAAAAAGCTCAAAATGAGTGAAAATGTTATTTTATATAGAAAATGCTAATATAAACATTCAGTCAAAATTTCATGTACCTACGGTAATTTGTTTAAGAGTTAAACAGATTTTGCGTAAAAATTCCCGTTTTTCTTTAATTTTGCTTTTGTTTTTCACGGCGCTTTTGAAAACTACTGGGAAAAATTTACTTTTGATGCCCCAAAGTACCAACTAGATTCACTTTCCTCTCAGAAAAGATACTGTATCTAATACGATTAAACAGATAAAACACATTCTTAAATGTTGACCTGCCGAATGCATCAACTAGATTCATATACCCACCGGAAAAGATACTGAAGTTGAAAATCAAAGAATTATTTCGACTACTTATCGTGTACACAGACACAAAAAAACACATCATTGTAAAATCAATACTTTCATCGCTCCTTTTAGAATCTAAAATTGTATAACATAATATTTTCTAGAATTTTGAATGAGAATTTTTTTTTAACAGAAATAAGAGAACCTTCAAATCCCTGTATTGTTTATGGTGCAAATTTCATAGTATTCCCTAATTTTAATTTAAGAAATATTTCAATATTTCAATTTTCTAAAATTTAGTAATTTTATTTACAATCAAATAAACAAACATTATTTGAAAATAAATCTTTATTGACTTTGGATATCAAATTTGTCAAAAAATGAACTTCCTACAATCATAACAAATTGCGAATGTACCTATTTTAAATATTTTTGAATTGCTATAATCAAAATGTATGATAAACCTTTTATTATATTTTAACTCTTTTAAGATATTTAATACATCCAAAGGTATATCTTAAGACTTTAGTTAGAAGTTATTGGATTTCTATTTTAATTCTTAAAAAGAACACTTGATTTCTCATATTATATAATACAGTGTCAGATGTCCCGTCGTGTTTGTCCTCGTTCATTCCCACCCATCTCAAAAACAATATACCTCACTACATTATTTTTAGTCTGAATGAATTTAAAAAATACTTTAAAATATAATAATTGCATACCTCCGAGAGAACATGCTACCTACTATAAAGCTTTATTGAGAAAATTATTGACGAGGACCATACAATGGCTGGTATGCAATATGAATATTGAATACCTACATCTTACATTAATTACAGGTTGATTAGTTTATCATTAAACGGTAATATTTTCTGATTATTTTTATTGATATAGTTTTTTAATCAGGAAATAATATATATTATTAAAGTATACAATTATATAGTATGTAGTGACTATGTACCCACCTACTATAATCTATTGAAATCTCACTAAAATTGCTTAGGTACAAATGAGTTACATAAATATAAATTAATTTTACCAGTAAAACCTTGGTTTATCAAAATTATTTGTTTAAGAAACAGTCAAATATTGTATTTACTACGATAATTAGTGCATTTTCTTTGTACTACAAAGTTGATTTTTTTTTCTATTTTTATCCAAGTCACTCTTCTATAATAATTATAAATTTTATTTTTAATGAGCCTTATGAGTGAAAGAAAATAATGATTTAACGGTTAAACAAAATAAATAACAAATATTACTATTCCTTAATAGTAATAATATTATTATGTATTTAACAGAAATGTTATTTACTTACTTTTAACAGCCCACAATGTTTGGTTATTTAAACCATTCATGAATTGTTGTCCATCTCTAGTACAATTTTCATTGACATTTGAAAAGGGTAAAAAGTTTTTCATGCTATTCGCAATAATATCTCCAAACAATGTTTGGGTATTTATTTTGTTCCCGTCATTTATACTTCGTGTGAGGTTTTCTGTGTTTGGTGTACCGTATTCTTTCTGAACATAATCATTTCTTAGCTTTTGTATTTTAGATTCACTGGTGTTTTGACTCTGGGCATGAGATACACTTTTGTTTGATATTACAGCTATAGCTGTTAATGCCAGCCAAATGTATTCAAACCACATTGTTCACAGATCTATAAAAACAAGTTATATAAACAGATTAACAAATTAATACAAAATATATGATAATTAGTTAGGACACATTCCAAGGCCAATAGTCGGGTGCAAATAAGAATATCTATGAAACAGCAGTTTCACCAGTCTATTATACAATACCTATACATATTGATGATAGCACGGATGTTAATTGGTAGTATAGATTTTTTAAAATATTTATAATATGGCAAATAATTTCTTGACGGAATTTTATTTAATTTATTTAATTGTATATTATTATATTTTATATATAATATAACCTTTTCAAAGCATTTTAAAAAAGACCCGTAGGGCCATAAGTAGTATTGAACTCAGATAAAATAAATTACGAAAACAACACTAGCGTGTTCAGCCAAAATGTCATTAGTTTTTTATAATTTCATCACCGTTTTGAAACTGATAAAAATTTCCTATTTCACACGGGTACGCTAAAAACAATTCAAAATTGCTCAAAATTTGAGTAGGTAAGAGCCTACATGTCAATTTCAAATTTTGTTTTTTTTTTTTATAAATATAATGGAACGATTAATAATCATACGCATAATGTATACGTATAGCTATAAATGACATAACCGTACCGTAATAAGATAACAAATGATGCATTATCATGTAACATTGATATTGGATATTTTTTGAAGTAAAACACATTGTAATTTATATTAAACATACGTTTGCTAATAATTATTACATTATATACTTCAGCAGTTTAGTGAAGTAAATGTGAAAATAATAGCTTGATTTGATATATAGTAGTCAATACTTAATAGCATATAGTACACAAAACCAAATTATCCATAATATCTAATAAATAATAATGAAAACATTATTATGTATCCAATACATTTATCAAGAATATTAATATTGAATTACTGCAGTGTACAATTTCAATGACTAATAATGTTGATACAAAATTATGTATAAAATATTATAGCCACTCGTAGTATAACATTGTTATACTAAAATGTTTTATTAACAATATCAAAATCATTATAATATAATGAGATGTCTCATATTTTAGATGTAATGATGTTGTTAATTTTATATATCAAAGTATCAAACTATATAACATAACTCCTGATAACATATATTTACTCAAAAGAAATATACAACAATTTGATACCGGTCTTCTTTACCTACTATCACAAGTGTTGCACTTTTTGCTTTGCTTTGTAGGGATGGCTGAGCCGTTAACTATACCAGGCTTTTGCCTCTACTAGTGGATAGAAGTTTGTTGAAGGTGAATTTTTAAAGTTTTAAAGTTGTTGTTCTACCCATGTTAAATGGTAGGGATTGATTCTTCGTTTAGTGGTTGGAAGGGGGTGAGTTTTACCTAGGAGTCGGATGTGGGAAAGTGTTGCACTGTTATATTGGCATGCTTTATACAGTGGAGACATTACCTGTCAATAATTATTTTACTGTCATGTCTTATCATCAATATCAATCGTAATATTATTATCTTAGTATTATAACATTGTACCATTGTTAAACATAAACGGTACAGTATAAAACATCTTAATTTACAACACATAACATTTAATATCTTTGGCCAATACGATTAACAGTAGGTACACGAAATCAATAATATCATCACATAATATAGCTGACTGGAATAATATTATTTGTTATGGAGACGCATTAATTTGGAATTTTATGAATTAAAAAAACTACAGTACACGTATCTGAATTCAAGGTCTCTGGATAATTGTAATAGTTATGTCGCAAATGGACTGATGGCATTATGTATAGTGTAGATTAATACTCATCAGTGAAGTCGACAATCCTGGTTGATGAATTTAATATTATGTGATTATAAGTATTGGGGAACAGGATATTTGACTATTATAATTATAATCTGTGAATATGATGGTATTAAGGAATACAATAATTGGTAAGGACTAAGGAGTATACAATATGGTAAGTATCACGATAGTTAGGTTAGCTTACAATCCGATGTCTAATATTGTATTCATATCATCGGCATTTGTCCCAATGAATAATAACAATAATAGTAATGTGTTTTACACCATTATAGTTCCAATAATAAACTTTAAATTTGTAACATTGCTTATAAAAATAAAAATACCTGAGCGATTCATAATCTGTTTTTTAAAGATGATGGTGAACTTTCAGTACCACTGACATACAGACGAGGAAAATAAAATTTCCCTCATGCACACTGAAGCGCATCCCCATTATGTATGTTATATTGTTGAAAAATAATATGGTGATTTTTACCACTGTAATATTATGGTAAATTTTACGAGAAATTCAAATGTATTGAGAAAAAAAAAATATTTGATAAATATTTAATTAGTTATATAGAAAAACATTTTAGTTATTATCAATTGAATTTTTTCATAAAATGTTATCATGCCACCTGGCGCCCGCACTCGACTACGAGCTACGGCGAGACAGACTGGTACGTACTACTTTTTTTCAAAATCATAACTATATAAGCATAAAAAAAAAAATGTAAAAAACTTCATATTCGAGATTAAACGAGGAAGGTATAATATGTTAATAGTTTTAATTGTAATTTTTGTACCTACATATTATTATTGATTTTATTCGGTCCAGCATGGTATAGCTATTATTTGTATGTAGGTATATGCATTTATGCGGCGCCGAAAGGATTAATAAAATAAAACTAATTGTATATTTTTGGTATACAAGATACTTTTGTAATATTAAATATAATAACATTTTCGAAATATTCAAACGTCATGACATTAGTTTGAGGCTGCATCCGAGTTTGGTCCCGAATTTAAAATTATGACTTATTCAATAGATGCGAGAGGAAGTAAGACACTATGATGTTCTGCAGTGTATATGATGGTTATGATAAATAATAACTTGTAGGTTTCCTGCATTAGGGTAAATATGAGGATGAGACTGAGATTTTTATCAGTATAGTTCTACTACCTGCAGGTGTTCTAGCCGTGTAATAATATTTTGTGACGGTAAATCGATAAGTTGATTAGTTTAAAAAAATGCTATCCACACCACATTCCATAAAATATGGTATAGTTCTAATTTGAAAATTTGTATTAAACCTAACTCATTTATATCTAACAAAATATTATATAATACATTTTTCATATAGAAAGAAATGATAAGCCTTGTTTTTCAAAATGTACTGTTCATATTACGATTTCATAATAAATCTAAATCATTTTCATGACATTTAATGTATTATAATATTAATTTAAATTCAAAGTTTGATTTTTGTTTAATATTTAAATGCTATGGATATATCATGGTCAAAATAAATACCTAATGGAAGTAATATTGATAAACACTTTAGTAACAACATAATATTAAAAATATTATTAGGTAAATAAGAAATATATTTATGTAGTCACTTATAATCTTTATTAAAATACTAACCTGCAAAAATTCAAAATGATTGCAATGATAAAAATTACAATTTACATTTATAAAATGCGTTGGAATCACATAATATTAAATTAACAATGGAATTACAAATTTTAATACTGAAGAGTGAGGAATTTTAGTTGTTCTATGAGTTTTAAAAGTGATTAAAAATAGCTATAACATATTTTGAAAACCGATTCTTAGCAGATTTAGTCATCCAAAAATGCTTAAATTTTTGTTAAAAAGTAGGCACTTGTTAACTTTCTTTAAGACATTTTTGTTGTTAACCACTGATAATTTTAAAACAAATTCATTGAAGTATTTTTAATGTCTAATTTAGAGGAATACTATGAGGCTTACTTATATATTAAACTTAATATTGCCATTAACATTGTAATAAAGGTTCATTGTAATAATCTAATTATAATACTATTCAATTAATTTTATAAAACGAATACAGGCAAACCTCACCAGTTAATGTAAAGTAGTAATTAGTTTAATTTGAAAAGCAATTTTTTTTTTTTTTTAAATGTAAATTTATATAATAAAGAAAGAAAGATATTAAAAATGTCATAAAATGTATTGTACTGGCAAAAATCTGGACTTGTTTATATAATACCGCTTTTTATATAAATTACAATACCTATATACATATAATATAATATGTGTCTAAAATCGAGTATTATAAATAAAAACTATATAATAGGTACCATAAGGTTTAACCTAAAATAAAATAAAAAAAATAATATTAACAATAATGTTGTGTTAACTTACAATTAATTTTGTTTGGATTTGATTAATGATATTTATCCAATTTGATTATCGTTCAACTCGAATAGTTTTTACTTGTAATTAAATTCCAGTAATTGTTATTCAAGTGATATTTTTTCCAAAGATTGAAATATCGTATGAACTTCATGAGTTAGTTTAATAACCAATAACTATTCGAATATAACTGTCGCATTTTTAAATAAAAACCAATTGAATTGTGTATTATGAAATGTATATCATAAGAACGCGATGTGCATTATGGCCAAGTTACCACTACTAAACTCAGGTTTTTGTCACATATTGGTTCTCATAAAAATTGTTCATTCAGAACCCCCTCCCTAAAATAATAGATATAACGTAGTGTCGTACATTGGTCATTGACTCTGAAATATGTAAGACACGAAACATTACCTCCCTAAGGTTGAAACTAAAATAAAATAAAAATATAATATTAACGATAATGTTGAATTTACTTACAGTTAATTTTGTTTGGATTTGATTAATGATTTTTATCCAATTCGACTATCGTTCAACTCAAATAGTTTTTACTTTCATCTAAATTAAAGTTATTATTATTCAAGTAATATTTTTCCAAAGATTGAAATATCGTATACACTTCATATAAGTTAATTTAATAACACTAATAACTATTCGAATATAACTGTCACGTTTTTAAATAAAAACCATATCATAAGAACGCAATGTGCGTAATAGCCAAGTTACCACTACTAAACGGAGGTTTTTGTACAGATATTGGTTCTCGTGAAAATTGTTCATTCAGAACCCCTTCCCTAAAATAATAGATATAACTTAATGTCGTA